GGGAACAGATGCTGTCAGGGAAGAGCATTATAGAAATGTGGAGATTGTTTAAGGAATGCATACTGTGTGTGCTCGATATGTTTGTCCCTAGCAGGCAGGGAATATGTGGCTGAGTGAGGGAGCTTTGGTTCTCAAAAGAGGTCGAACAACTAGTTAAGAGGAAGAAGGATGCTTATACAAGGTTTAGGAAACAAGGATCAGAAAAGGCTCCAGAGAGATACAAGTCAGCCAGGGAGGAGCTGAAGAAAGGGCTTAGGACAGCTATAAGGGGGCATGAGAAAACCTTGGTGGATAGGATCAAGGAAAACCCAAAGGCTTTTTACACGTACGTGAGGAATAAGAGAATGACCAGAGAAAGGGTAGGGCCGATCAAGGATTGTAAAGGGAGTTTGTGTACGGAGCCTAAAGAAATAGGAGAGGTCCTTAATGAATACATTTCTTCGGTATTGACAACAGAGAGGGACCTAGTTGTAGGGAGGGCAGTATGAAACAGGCTGGTAGGCTAGAGGAGGTCGATGTTAGTAAGGAAGATTTTGAAGAATTTTGAGGAACTTCAAGATAGCTAAGTCCCCCGGGCCTGATGGGATTTATCCAAGGATTCTATGGGAAGCGAGGGAAGAGATCGCAGGGCCTTTGGCGATGATCTTTTCATCCTCACTGTCCACGGGTATAGTGCCGGAAGATTGGAGAGTGGCAAACGTCCCTTGTTCAAAAAAGGGATTAGGGATAACCCCGGAAATTACAGGCCAGTTAGTCTTACTTCAGTGGTGGGCAAATTATTGGAAAGGGCTCTGAGAGATAGGATTTATGATCACTTGGATAGGCACAGTTTGATTCATGATAGCATGGATTTGTGAGGGGTAGATCATGCCTCACAAACCTTACTGAATTCTTTGAAGGGGTGACCAAACACGTGGATGAAGGTAGAGCAGTGCATGTGATATACATGGATTTAAGTAAGGCATTTGATAAGGTTCCCCATGGTAAGCTCATGCAGGAAGTAAAGAGGCATGGGATAGGGGGAAATGTGGCAGATTGGATTCAGAATTGGCTGACCATTAGAAGACAAACAGTGGTAGTGGACGGAAAACATTCAACATGGTGCTCAGTTACGAGTGGTGTACCATTGGTATACACTGATCTGTTCTGGGTCCTCTTCTATTTGTGATTTTTGTAAAATGATTTGGATATAGGAGTGGAAGGGTGGATTAGTAAGTTCGCGGACAATACAAAGGTGGGTCGAGTTGTGGATAGTCTGGAGGGCTGTTCTAGGATACAAAGGGACATTGATAGGATGCAGAGCTGGGCTGAGAAGTGGCAGATGGAGTTTAACGCTGAAAAGTGTAAGGTGATTCATTTTGGAAGGACAAATTTGAAAGCAGAATAATGGAAAGATCCTTGGCAGTGTGGAGGAGCAGAGGGATCTCGGGGTTCATGTCCACAGTTCCCTGAAAGCTGCCATCCAGGTAGATAGAGTTGTTAAGAAGGCGTATGGTGTATTAGCTTTCATTAATAGAGGGACTGAGTTCAAGAGCTGTGAAGTTATGGTCCAGCTACACAAAACCCGGGTTCGACCACATCTGGAGTATTGTGTCCAGTTCTGGTCACATCATTACAGGAAAGATGTGGAAGCATTGGAAAAGGTGCAGAAGAGATTTACCAGGATGTTGCCTGGAATGGAGGGAAGGTCCTTAGAGGAAAGGTTGAGAGAGCTAGGGCTTTTCTCTTTAAAATGACGAAGGATGAGAGGTGACTTGATAGAGGTGTACAAAATGATCAGAGGTATAGATAGAATGGATAGCCAGAGACTTTTTCCTAGGGTGGAGGTAGCTATTATGAGGGGGCATAGTTTTAAAGTGAGTGGAGGTAGATATAGGGGAGACCTCAGAGGTAGGTTCTTTACTCAGAGAGTGGTAGGGGCGTGGAATGCATCGCCAGAGAGGGTAGTGGAGTCGGCCTCATTAGGGGCATTTAAACGGCTATTAGATAGGCATATGGACGATAGTATAAGGTAGGGGTGGAGGTTAGATAGACCTTAGGTTTAGGGTAAAAGTTTGGCACAACATCGTGGGCCGAAGGGCCTGTACTGTGCTGTACTGTTCTATGTTCTATGTTAAACAGTCTTTGCAGGCAAAGCAGTATTTCATCTGTGTCTCCACCAATTTTTTTTCTTTATTCATTCATAGGATGAGAGCGTCGCTGGCTAGGCCAGCATTTATTCCCATCTCTAATTGCCCAGCAGGCAATTAAAAGTCAGCCACATTCCTGTGGGTCTAGAGTCACATGTAGGCCAGACCAGGTAAGAATGGCAGTTTCCTTCCCTAAAGGACATTAGTGAACCAGATGGGTTTTTTCAACAATCGACAATGGATTCACGGTCATCATTAGGTTCTTAATTCCAGATATTTATTGAATTCAAATTCGACCATCTGTCATGGCGGGATTCGAACCCAGGAACCCAGAACGTTATCTGGGTCTCTGGATTAACAGTCTAGTGATAATAACACGAGGCCATCGCCTCCGAATCTGGTCTATTGTATCCACTGCACCCAATGTGGCCTACTCTACGTTGGTGAATCTAAACGCAGACAGGGTGGCTGCTTTGCAGAACACCTCTGGTCCATGCTCAAGCATGACCCAGACTTTCCTGTAGCTGATCATTTTAACACAACATCCTGCTCACATGCCCACTTGTTTGTCCTCAGCATGATGCTATCCTTTAGCGAATCATAGCACAAACTGGAGGAATAACATCTCATCTTCAAACTTGATACTTTACAACTTTCTGGACTTAATATTGAGTTCAACACCTTCAGGTTGTGAACTAACTCCCATTTCTTCCTTTTCTTTTAGCGTTAATTGTTGCATTCTCTGTCACCATATCCTCTCTCTCCTTCCCCTACTCCAGTGGGACCATCTGATCTCTCCAGGTTGGCAGTTGGACATCCCATTGTTCTGCTATTCTCACATTCCAATAATTTAATCTGCATTATCAGCACCCTTTCTCCCCCAACACTTCACAGCCATCCCCCCACTACTGCACAAATGCTGTCCCCTCCACACTTCACATCGTTGTGATGAAGACTCATCTAGACTTGAAATGTTAGCTTGCTCTCTCTCCGTGGATGCTGCCTGATCTGCTGTGATTTCCAGCACTTTTTGTTTTCAGTAAATGAAGGATGACTTGGTGATGGGATGCTGGCCTTTGTGGAGTCATTTCAGTAAACAGTTATAAAACATCAGCATACAACAATAAAACTTAAAATGCTAATCTTGTTACAAACGGGGAAAAAAAGAACACAGACAGAAGGAGACCTGGGAAAGCAGTTCAGTAGTCTCTATTCCAAGATCTATTGAGTTGATCCTTGCTGATCTGCAAGTTTCTTCTTGGCCTTCCTTTTCAGAATGCTTCCACTGATTTGCAAGAGGCTCAGGGTAGATAGTTCACATATAAAAGATCTCTTATTAATTAAAAGTCACAGATTGCAGTAGCTGCTGAAGGAAAGATAAACTGGTCTTCTTCTGATTTAAGATAACAAGGTGTAGAGCTGGATGAACACAGCAGGCCTAGCAGCATCAGAGG